ATATGAAACATGAACCAAGAGGCTTAGAGAAAAACTTCATAGCCAGATGAACAGGCAGAATTCATAAGTGGATTTTAGTAGGATGGAACATCTTCATATGGCACAGCAAGCGATTCAGCCAAGCAACGAATAGCTGCTTCTTCTCTGCATACGGATTTACCGATTTTCAGAGATCTTTCGACATTCAGCTTGCATCAGGCCAGCATTAGGTTTCTTTAGGAACAAAGAAATCGAGTAAACTCGCAATGACACCATCGCAAAGGTTTGCATGAATGCTTCATGGCTTCATGAAAACATCAACAAGTCGAAAATCGAAAAAGACGTCGGTTAACGATATGCAGAACCAACGCGTAAACGAGCACTACTTTTATTGTCTGCGATCTACCGACGATAGTTCGACCTTTACTACGTTTTCAGAAGCATTCTGGGAATGCATCAAAGAGATGAACGGCGCCCTGCTACTCTGCTACTTTGGCAGAAAGCCCGAGGCAGCGATTAACGCCGAGACAACGATCGTACGATCGAACTTCCGCCATGGATATTCAGAAGTTAAATGTTAGATTATTTGATTTGCATTAATGATCGAACTGCATCTTACAGCCGCGGAGTAGATGATCGCAGGGAGCTTATTCGGTCGGAATATGGCATATATTCATCAATACTTCTATTATCTTATATTTAACCATAACTTAGAGGTCGGAGACCAAATATCAGCTACCTCTTGGTTTCGAGTAGCAGCACTTATTTATTACAAAGACACAGCCTAAGGGCGAAACTAGCTACAGCGGATCTAAATCTCGTTTCGTTCGCAATTCAACAGTTGAAGTCAACTTTAATGCAGTTCATTTTTCAGCTAAATCACTGAAGCACACACAGACGAAGACTCGTCGACTAGGCAAGCAAGCGCATAGGGCACAATGCGAGGTTTGTGCCCATCTCAAGGGAGGCTCACCGTCATCAGATGAAAAATATTTGCAGATTCCAATGATCGCATCCAAACTAATCTTCAGACAGACACGTACTATACGGAGATGTCATTCCAGGCTGAATGTCACCTTGTTGACAGCGAGTTACGGATTCGTACCAGTTTAGAATACTCCCCCTCGTGCAACCTCACGTCATGCGAATCCTTGGCTCCTCCTTACGTCTGTAGCCGGCCCAGTCGATATCCGGATTACCGGATATCAGAAATCCGCGCCACAAACGTCATCGTGGGTGTCTTCTGACATTCTGCTTTCCGACGCATGGGCAGTTGTCACGCCAAGTTAGGGTGTGATGCGTGACGGTTGTTATCATGCAAAATGTACCTCGAAACAGATGACACAGCGATGTTCGTTCATCGTCTCCATCAGAAGGCCATGCGAACACGACAGTGGCTCCCCTGCGGCTTGAGTATTCGATCATTAGCCGCTTTGTCGATGCACTGATGTTACTGCCGCTTTAAGATCTTATCAATGCGTCAATCCGATCAATGAATCTTGCCGTCTGGTTCACACGCCGTTGGAGTCGTATGTGTCTCATGGCCATCGTCATCCTCTCCCAACAGAGCTTATTCCTCATCGTCGATCCTAAGAAACGATAGCCAGTTGTTTTGCTATTAATATGCCAATGCTAATCACATTTATTTACGACACAACTGCATGCAAATATGGATGAAAAACAAGGACAGAATCTTAATTGATCTGATTGGCTCTTATTTCGAGAATGTCAAGTCGCTGATTCGGTAGTGTTATCTCAAGACGGAGGCCGGAAATTGCCTAGTACGTATGTCCGTGAGTCGAATGCCACGGTTGAGGCGGAGATCAGGACATTACATGAAACGTACGAAGGACAACCAGGATCACTGATAACGTAATACATGATCTATGCAAATGTATGGAGGCACAATCGCTTTCGAACTGGTCCGATTGTAAACATGAGATCTAACGGTTGCAGAGGGCAGTAAATAAAAAAATTATGGACATTCAGTTTATCTACATGAGAAAATGATTGGGTGCATGTATCACTGCACTATCATTGATTTAGTGGGACTAGCAAAAGGTGATAAGATAGATACTCCTTCTTTCTAAACTAGGGCTTAGATGCGCATTACATGTGAAACGGAGTTTTAATGACGAGCTTTCAAAAACTATATCGTTGTACTCTTCAATATCGAGTACAATCAACCTCTTTCAATGTGATTTTGAGTTAAATTTTATTATTTGTTTCTTTATAACGCCGCAGTCACCGGTGCCGACTTTGAATGATAAAAAAAGGGTTGGGGCAATGGGGAAATGTCGTGTAAAATTCAGACATCTGCCCCTCGTGGTGGCGTTCCCGTTAATGAACGAAATACCAGCTCGGTCGTGACCCAGGATATCAATAGCCAGTTTGTGGGGTAACTGCGGAAATTCGGCGATCAGAACCTATCTCCCCTTCTGGCAGCCGACGGCATGGCAGCGCCGCGAAAGGTGCCAAAGACTGACAAGAGACCACCTGAACCTCTACCGGTTCTGATCTGAGGAGGCAGACAACGTGTAAATTACGTGCAACAACGTGCGCGTCACA